ATAGATTCCAGAGTTCTAGAACAGTTACATCAGACAGATTCTGGCAATGCAATGGTTATCTAGGTGGAGAGACAGATTCCAATTCTTCCTCCTCTCTGCCATCTTCCCAGAATCTGCTTCCCTGTCCACTTTTACAAATTTTTTCGTATGTTGTCAAATGAATGAATAAGTTATAAAATTAGTAGCCAACATTCATGAAACGCTTACTTACTATGTTCCAGACACTGTTCTACACATTCTAAATGGATTAATTAATTTAAGCTTATGATAAGCTTTGAAGTAGGGACTATCGTGTCCCTCATTTTACAGATAAGAAAAGTAAGGCAGAAGGAGAGAGGTTTAAGAGCTTGCCACTCTGACACTAGGATTCAAACTTGAGGTTTGACTTCAAGGTCTGTACCTTTTCATAGTAAATGAATGGATGAACAAATGAATAATTTGTTCATAACAGAGGTATCTTCAGTATACCATGGCAGTACAGAGGAAGGGCTTCCAAAAGTAAAATTAGGGATTGGGAATTCATGAGTGGTTTCCTGGAAAAAGTGATACCTGAGCAGAATGCTGAATAATAAGTAAGAGATGAGGAGGGCAAAGGGCATTTCTGTAGGAGACAAAGAGAAGCAAAGACTTAGAGGTGGCAAGGATCTGCCAGAATCTGCAGGAAATCCCAGCAGCTAGGGATGCTAGAGCACCAGTCAAGAAAGGAGGCAGGAGCGGAGAGATACTTGTACTGAGGCACAAACCAGTGCTTCCAGGCTCAAAGGAAGAGAAACTGTAGGAAATGAAAAAATGTCTTTGTGAAGGAGGTGGCAGGGCTTGGAGGACGGACAGGATTGCAGCTGGTAGATTGGGCTGAGAAAGGCATTCCAGGCTGGGGGAAAAGCTTGGAGGTGGGAGAGTGGGAGAGAAATACTTAGAGAAGCATTTGATTTGGCAGGAGGGGAGGAGCATTCATCATGCAGGGGCTGCTGAGACACCACCAAAGCCTGTGCACAGAATTCTGCCCTGCAGAAAAATGGCTGGAGTAACATCAGTGAGCCAGTTTTAAGTCCCAACTGTGTGATCCTGGATGAGTCACTTCTGTGTCTGTTTCCAGACCTATAAAATGGAGGTGACAATCATCTACCTAAGCTTGCCCAAAGGTTTAAAACTGAGAATTTGTGTGGAAAGACTTTGCCAACCCTAAGGCATCTGTCATGTCCCCCAGTCCTCATACTGACTCGGAATCACCAACAGAGCTTTTTAAAAACACAGCCTGCCACGCACCAACCCAGGCCTACAGAATCAGAGCAGGGGTTGGAGACACATTCTTTTCCTTCCCGCTCTTCATTTCTACTATTTTTCTCACTAGTCCTGATGCTCTATTAACTTTAGACCTGCCAGCTTTGACAGCTGGTAAAAAGAAAATACAGCAAGAAAAATAGAGATCCTGAAGGCTTATGGAGATACACTGGATCTGAAGAGTTTTCTGGTCAGTGCTTGACAGCTATGATAAGGGAGAGAAGGTGAAAGATCTTTCTCAAACGTGGGAAATGAGCAAAGCAGCCAAAGGGTAGTGATGCTTTTTGGCCTCCATCCAAGAGTTCTTCGAGAAAAGAGATCCTCAAGCTATCACTCACAGCTACAGTGAGCTGGAGCAGGTAAGTCAATTAAAAGCACACAGCACCCTACAGCTTATAACACATTTGCATCTGCACTGACTTGTTTGATCTTCCTAATATCTCTGTGAGGTGGGGCTTCTTATTTATCCCCATTTTACAGGTAAGGAAATTGAGGCTCATGGGAGAAAATGACTTGCCCCATGTCCACAGTTAGCTAGGAATACAGCAACAATTTGCTTCTAGGACCCTTAAGTTCCAAGGCTTTTCTGCAATACCACCTTCTGCTCTTTGTGGAGATTTTAAGGTAGCAGAAAGTGCACTGGAAAGCTCCCTGTTCTAGCTCTGCAGGGAACATGCTACGTACCTCCAGATAGATCTGCTGCCTCTTCTGAGCCTTGCCACTATCAATCTACGGTGATTGTTGTCAGGATTAAATGATATCAATATAATGATCCTAAAAGTATCCAGCACAGTTCCTGGCATGCCACAGTAGCCAGGATGACCACAAGAAGGATGAAGAGAATGGTGAAAATGACAGTGCTTCTATACAAAGGGCGTGTTAACATCAGAAAAGGAGGGGTCAACTTAACCAGACTGAGGGTTTCCTGGGCAAGAGCACACTGGACAGAAACTGGAAGAATTTAGAGACATGACCTCCCTCACTTCCCTCCCCGCTATGTGACGAGAGCTTGGAATGTGTAAGAGGGGGTGGCCGGAACTGATACTGAAGAGGAAGGGTGAGGAAGGCATGTCACATGGGCCTTAAATACCAAGCCAAGGAGTTTGGCTTTTGCCACTGAAAGGCTATAAGCAATCAAGGGTTGTGATCCATTTTGCAGGATTGTAGTTTGGAAAGGTCCCTCTTGTTGCAGTGTGGACAGCAGACAGGAGGAGGGAGACCAGAGACAGAGAAGCACAGAGAGTGGTGGAGGTCAGTAAGAGGTTGGGGTGGGTGGGTAAAGCTGATGGAGATTCCCCAGCTGAGGCCCTGTGGAGAACTGAGGCCCTAGGGAGATCAAGGGAAATGAGGAATGTGCAAGTGCTCAGAAAGTGCTACTAGCTACTAAGTAAGGTGTGAAAGGTTGTTTATCATATTTATGTTAAGTAAGAGGCCCTTTAGGGAGAGTGGAGGCTCCAGCCCAGCTGGCTAGACCCTGCATACAAAGGGCAGTGGGAGTTAGCACCCTGAGTTGGGAGCTGGGATAAATTGAGCGTTGCTATTTCCATTTCTGGGATGCTGAGCTTGAGACTCCACAGAGAAAGAAAGCTAAACAGAGGTCATCTTAGGCCAGGGCAGAGGCTGATTCCTTAAAACACACATACACACACACATACACACACACACACTCCCCATAGGAGGTGAGGAGGCAGCAGGCACATAGGCTAGAGAGTTGGTGGTCCTTTCCCTGTTCCCTTCCCTGCCAAGTCTGCTGGGTTTTCTGGCCTCTAATCCATGACAAGAGACATTTTAGCAATAACAACCACACACTAGAGCTTCTTGAGAGCCAGACTAAAGCTATACCTAAATTACCTAGTTTATTTCTTACAGCTGAGAACAAGAGTCTCAGCTTAGATAACCTGCCTAAGGTTACCTGGAGCTGGTAAGTAGCAGGGCCGGAAACTGAACCCTGTTCATGCTTGACCCTCACCAGATGCGCATGGCAGGCAGGGAGACTTGAGGGTGGAAGGGTGGGGAACAGAAGCATTCTGACTCTTCCTGAGGGACCCAGAAGGTGCAAAGTTGAATCCCAGCAGCCCCTTTATTGAGCTAAACTGTAAGGAAGACACTGGATACAAAGGGGCTTGTGGCATCACCATTTTGAAGACCACTGAATGAAGAGTCTGAGCTAGATGACCTGTAAGGTCTTCTAGTTTTGGAACCTGGGATTCTATCTAGGGGAAGTTGATGGGCAGAGGGGAGAGAGGGGAGCTCTCCCTGCTTTCAGACAGGTAAGACCAGGCTCCCAGCCTTGTCTCTGCACCTCCCTAACTGGCAGAGGCCATGGGTCTCAGTCCAGAAGAGTCTCTAAGACCACACATGACTTCAAGTGCAGGGGGACCACCTGCAAGAGCACTTTGTTCTCTAGGCAGCAGATGTGGTAATGCTGGCTGGGGTAGTGGCCTCTACTCCTGCCTCATCACCCTACTTGTCTCCCTTCTCACCCAGGCAGCTAGGCTGACACATACACACACCCAAGCAACTTATTTTTTTAATTAAAAAAAAAGTAATATAGGAAGAAAGAGCAAAAAGACTGGGTTTACAAGTCCCAGCCACTGCAGGAGGAATACTGTCCAATCTCTGCACCCACCGGCCCTCTCCTAAGTGGGTGTGAAGTTCTTGGAAGGTCCCAGGAGACCAAAGCTTCCCTCAACCCCCCTCCCCTGGCAGGTCTCTCACGTGCCTGAGAGCTGCCCCCATCTCAAGGTAGGCGTTGTGCCTGGAGCCACACAAAGACCCTCTCCTCCTAGGGAATACATACACCAGTTCATTTCTTCCCACAACCCTTCATTTAAAAAGTGTTTTGGATGCTTTCTTGTCGTTTTTAGTATAAAGAGGGGTGAGAGGAGATGGCCTGCTGAGGGAAGAATCGACTTAAGCCGCTGCCTAAACAGCAGTTTCCCTTCTTACAACTCTAACCAGCAGACCAGGGTGTGCTCCAGAAAAGTCTGTTGACTTTCTCCCCTGCCAGCTTTTGTGCCCAAGCCCGCCTGTCTCCTCTCTGTGGGTTCATCTTTCAGCCTTTTTCTTCTTCAGATTCTTGGTCTCTCTCTCTCTCTAACGTTTTGAAACCTCTTTGACTCTTTTAAAAAATCGTAGGGAGGTGGGGCGGGGACGAAGAACACCAGAAGAGGAAGCCCTCTCCCACCCAATTTCTTTCTTTCTTACCAACAACTAATTCGCTTTCTACACACACACACACACACACACACACACACACACAAACACACACACATGCACACACGCACGCACGCACACTCCCTCCCTCCCTCCCTCCAGCGACCTCCAGATGTTCCCGACCGTGCGGGTATCAGCCGCGGCTGCTCAGCGAGCAGGGGGAGGAGAAAGGAAGCTGGGAGAGAGGCCGACTGGAGTGAGAGGGAGCTGCGCACTTTCGAGACGCTCCCTAGGGTGGAACCCGGGCTCCGCGCGGGCTCTGCCGGCGGGCGGGGGGAGGGGCGCGCGCGTCGGGAAAGGCCGGCACTTTGGCGACACTCCCTGAGTCGCCCGGCCGCCCGCCTGAGCGACCAGCGGGCGCGGGGCAGAGGGGGAGCCCAGCGGCGGGCGGGGACCTGGGGGCGGGCCGCGCGGTGCTGAGAAAAGCGCTGGCCACGGGGCCAGCGGCCGGGCCGCCTGGGTGAGCGTGCCGAGGCGGCAGCGGCGCAGGCTTCCAGGTGGGTGCGGGTCCCGGGGCGGAGAGGGAGCCCGCACTGCGGGCGAAGGTGTCGAGCTTCCGACCCCAACCTTGCCGCCCCAGCCGGCTGGCGGGCGGGTGGCGCCGGGCACCGGGGCGGGGCTGGGTCCCGCCGAGGCCCCTCAACTTTTCCTGGAAACAAGGCGACGGCAGCAGCCGCCGGACACCGGGAGCTCGACAGGAGTGGAGAACCCGGACCCCGGGAAGAGGGATTTCTGGAGACAAAGGCTGTGCCTGGGGACCGTGGGCGAACGCCTCTGGGGTCTTTGTGCGGACACGTGCATCTCACGTTCGTGGGTCTTTGCGGCTTTTGGTTTGGGGACGTACATCTACCTGTGCTTTTGTGTGTCCGTGGCTTTGCGTGGTTGTTTTGAGCCTGTGTCTATGTTTCGTGGGCCCGCATTTGGCTGTGGGTGCCTGTGGGCGCATCGTTGTGTGTCCGCGTACGTGCTCTGTGCCTGTCGACGTGTCTGGATTGGATGTCCGTGGAGTATGTGCGCGCCGAGAGCCAGACGCCGCCCCAACTCCTCGCTCCCCTTCTGTCCACCCGGGCCGCCGACTTGGCTCCAAACTTTTCTCCCGGTTCCTCTGGCAACAGCCCCCTTCCTCCCCCCCTGCCGCCAAGGCGCGGGGCGCGGGCAGCCCTCCCTTTTCTTATACCTCCCGAGGTCCTTGGGCCGCTAGAGGATGCGATAGGATTGGTGGGTCAGGGGATTGGCAGCGCCTGGGGACTGGCCATGGCCAGGGCTGGGCGGAGCGTGGGGACACCTCCGCCGACCCCGACTAAGGGAGAGGAGGAAAGTGACTGGTCCTGAGATCTGGTCCGGGGCTGGAGAGGAGAGGACAGAAGAGGGGAGGGCGGTGGCTTTGCTCTCCTAGCGCTTCTTGGAAGGAGAGTGTGTGACCCAGAGAGAAGTGTCTACTTGGCTGAGAGACCAGCTCCAGCCTCCGACTCCATTTGCATCCAGCCCCTGGGGTAGGGAGACCAGCCCTCAGATCTGGTAGGTGAGAAAACAACGGCTAATCCAGATCTGGGCCTGCCAGCGACGCCAACTCGAAGGACACCAAACTGGACTGCAGGGAGTGGGACCTAGCACACACTAGTTTCAAATGGGATTGCCACCGGCCCACGGCATGGCCCTGGCAAGTTGCTCAGGGTGGCTAAGTGGGGATCACCCTGTCACGGATGGGGTGAGAATGCCCTTGCTGCAAGGAACGCGTGGTAGGGACAGACAGCACTGTAAAAGCAGGGCGGAGAGCGGCGCCCGCCCACACTTGGCCTGGCGAGGAGGTGACTCAGGAGCTTCTTCGATCCTTCCTTCCTAGCTTTTGGATAAGTCTAGACTTGCAGAGCTGGGGACTGACACAGGAGGGAGGGCTCGAGAGGGAGGGCTCTGAGCGGCTGGAACCTACTGGGGTTTTGAGCCTGGGTGGCAAGATCTAAAGATAAGCCTAAATACTTCCTCCACACCTCCCTTTTAAATGCTTCCTCCTCACCTTCCCATTTTTGTTTTAAAGCTTTGCTCTGCCAGTCTAGGCTGGAATGCAGTGGCACAATTATTGTTCACTGAAAAATTGAACTTCTGGCCTCCAGCGATCCTCCCACCTAAGCCTCACAAGTATCACACCAGTCTTTAAGCTAGAACTTTGCCAGATGCTGCAGACTCCAGGGAGGGACACAAGAGCCACTAATCTGGAAAGGAGGCAGCCATGAGCACTCTCTTTTTCTCCAGCCTCAGTTTCCCTTCCAGAACGGTCGCCATATATATATATATATATATTTTTTTTTTTTTTTTTTTTTGAGACAGAGCCTCAAGCTGATGCCCTGGGTAGAGTGCTGTGACATCACAGCTCATAACAATCTCCAACTCCTGGGCTCAAGCGATTCTCCTGCCTCCGTGTCCCAAGTAGCTGGGACTACAGGCGCCTGCCACAATGCCTGGCTATTTTTTGGTTGCAGCTATCATTGCTGTTTGGTGACCTGGGCTGGATTTGAACCCGCCAGCTCAGGTATATGTGGCTGGCGCCATAGCCGCTTGAGAGAATGGTTGCTATTGACAGCCCATCTAGTTCCTTCCTTTTCTGGCTAGATCAGTTTGATGTTTAACAAACACCTCCCTTCTGACTTGACCGATTCCTAGACACTAATTTGCTTCAGGAAGAGAAGGCTAGAGAGTTCAGAGGGCTCCCACCTACCCTTCTTCCAACACCAGGCTGAAAGACAAAAGCTGATTAGTGAGTCAAAAGTGTAGAGAAGGGAACGGATTAACATTTTCCCCCCTTATCTTCTAAATGACAGATTATGGGTGAGTAGAGCCTAGATTAATTTTCTTCCTAATCATCATGTCTGATTCTAAGCGAGAGACATGCTTAAAAGTTCCATTCATCCTTCCTCAGGACAAGCCTGGTCTGGGCACTGAGGATAATTCCTGAGGCGGGCTAGGCCCCCACCAGAAGCCCCCTGGCCAAAGCAACTTCTAAGAAAGAGACCTGACAGAGAAGGTTACTTCTTTTCAGGGTTTTGAGATCACTGAGTACACAGGGGAACAGGGAGAGTCTCCCACAGGAGGAGCAGCATGTGTAAGATCTGTGCATGGAAACAGCACAGGTATTCAGCATGGTGAATTGTTAGGTACAAAGTCTTGAGGGTGGGGAATTGGAATTGAACTTGAGGCTTGGGAGGGAAGCCAGGGGCCATATCATCAAGGCTTTGAATGCCAGGCCTAGGAGCTGGGATTTGAACTTGTACTCAGTTAAGAGCTGCTGGAAATTTTACACAGGCATAGGAGGGTGGGATGGGTAATTCTAAGAAACCCTTCTCTGCTTGCTGGTGGGGCTAAAGCCTGGGAGGCCAATCTGGGGGCTGAGTGTTCAGCCTCTTAGAGTAGAAAGACCTAGATTTTACTTCCATTCCATTGCTTCCTACCTCTGGGGTGTGGGACAAGTAACTTTACCTCTCTAATTCTTAGTCTACTCATCCTTGAAATGAGGGTATCAGTTCCTACTCTTCTGTTGTGAATATTACATAGGACAATGAATTACATGTGCTAATAAATGAGAAGGGGCTTGTAGTGTGTATTACGCTGTGTAGACGTTTGTTGGATTGTACTGACACTAGAAGGCAGAGACAGCATCTACTCTGGCCCTAAATCTCATTTCACTACCTGGCAAAGCCCTAACTGTCCTATAAGGTTAAGCCAATTGTTATGCTCCCCCTGAAACAGAAGGAAGCTTTCTGTCCACAACATTTCAGGCATCTGATCTATCGCCCTTCACATGGCCAGGTCTTGTGCAGGCAAGGAGCTAGGCACAGATTTGCAGATGGCCACAGACCGCAAAGTTGGTTGGGACTGTGATGGGCAGTCCAGGGATCATGGGAAACCTTTTGCTGAATGAGGGGCAGGTCACACTGGGAAAACCTCACAGAGGAAGTGGCTTTTGAATCAAATGAGTGAGTTTGCATGGTAGACAAAGGAAAGAAGGGTATTTTTGTCATCTTTGTCAGAGGGGACTGCCCGTGCAAAGGCAGGTTGCTCTAGGAGAGTGATCAGCCTCTAGACTGGAAAGCTCTCTTTGTGGAATGAGTTTTAAAGAGGGAGTAGTGGTAGCATCCCAGTCTTCTCTTGGGAAGACTGTGTGGCTAGCAGCTGGGGGCAGGGGCCAGAGTGAGGCTATTACAGCAGGCCTTCTAAACCCACTGGCTGGGTGAGGTGACTGCCCAGCTTGGGGATGAGGAAGAGGGAAGCCAGTAACCCCACCTGTCCAGGGAGAGCTGCTGATTTGACACCAAGCCCTCATTCTGTTATAGGCAACACAACTACTCAGCCTACTTTGGCCTCTGTAAGCTTTGGTGACCTTCCCAATTCCCTAGGAGGTGGTCCTCGTCAGCACCTTGGAGCCCCATTGAGAACTGGGGTGGTGCCTTGCAAAGGAATCTAAGGCCTCTGGGGATGAATTGTAGGTTCTTCTCCATCCTCTGCCCCTGCCTTGCCTTAGGATCTGCTGGTGTCACTGCACCTTTTCTTCCCTCATCCATTAGGGAGCAGAAACCAACATCCAGTGAGCCAGCATGTGCCAGGTCCAGGGCTCAGTCTTCACTTTCCTCATGTAATCATCACAGTGATCCACTAGGAACAATCCGAGGATTATTACCATGGAACAGATGGACTTGGGGGTGAGGGCACAATCAAGCCTCATAGTGGTTGAGGCCCTATAGGATTGGAGACCATTCTGCCTGGCTACAAAACCCTTTCCTCTGTCCCATACCGCCTCTCTATATATCCCTGCATGCTACCTCAAATTTATGGAAGCTTGAAAATCTTCAGGAAGAGGACATCTTGAAAGAGGAAAACAGTATTGGGGGCCTTGCCTGTCTCTCTATAGATCATCCTCCCTTGGTGAAGTTTGCTGGGCTTCCAGGTCCCACCTACACCAGGGATCGTGTCATGGAGAAGACCAGGCTCTGAGTGTCAGAAAACCTGAGTCCAGTCCTAGTCCTCACTGGCTGTATGGCTCTAGACAGATCACTGAACTTCTCTGGGCTTCTTTACACAGCTATAATGTAGATATGATGCCATCTAACATGCTGATCTTGCAGGGTGACTGAACAGATTAAAGAATAGTTGGGGAAACATGGGAAGGGTTGAGAAGTATCCTTTGGGGAGGTGGCTATATTCCCAATGTTTGCTGTATCTTCATAGCCCCTGTTCTGCACCAGGCCCAGTGCTCAGCTGCAAGGGCATTAAAAATGAGTCTAACCTCATCCCTGCTCCCAGAAGGACAGGCAGGTAAACTCATAACTACAGTCTGGCATAACCTGGTCTAAGCTGTCACTGTACATGCCTATTTGTAAGTTGAAGCAGAGTAGATTTAGAACTCAGACATCGGGTTGAATCTTGGATCCTCTGCTACCCCACTGAATAACAGCTGTTTCCTTGTTTGCAAAATAGGGACAGTAATCCCCACAGTGAAGGATGTGGTGAGGCAGAAATGAGATACTGGTGTAGAGGTACATGGTGAGCTGATATGTTTGTACAGATGTGTGGCATTAGCAAGTCTATTGGGAGAGCCGGCCCTCAAGGCTCTGGGAGTCTGGCCTTGAAATTCTTTCTGCCTTGCCTTTCCAGAGCTGACTAAGTGGTTGGAGGGCAGGACATTTATGAAACTTCCACCTGGGGATTTCATTGGCGTCAGCCTGAGTGAGCTCATGACTGAGGGAGCAGGGTGGGAAACAGCTCAGTGCTGGGGTGCAGCTGGTTGAGGCAAAAATCTGTCTCAGGTGGGTGCCAGGGCTCAGTGCCAGGGGCTTCCTGTTGAAGTTAGGGCAGGTAGGAGCTGGAAAAGTCTATGGGCCTGAGATGTTGTGGTACAGCACCACAGGGGCAGCAGGCAGCTGAGGCCAGAAGGCTCCGAACCCCAGTAGTGACAAGAGTATTAGCATAGCAGTCTCAGATCTGCTGGGTGCCTGCCACAGCACAGGATATTGGGTTGGAAAGGGACATGAAGGATCACATGGTCATTGCTTTCAGGAAGCTCAATAAATCATTGCCATCATTGGCTACCATACACAGAGCCCTAACATGTTACAGACAGCAGAGTGCTTCGCATTCTATCATTTAATCCTTTTGAACAACGTTGAGTTCTTATTCCTGCTGAAGACAATGGGATGCAATGAGGTTGAGACTTGTCCAAGGCTAATTGGTACAAAGCAGGATTCACACCCAGGCCTGAGGCCAGTGTTGACCCTTATGTACTGGACTCACCCTTTATCTGCTTCTCGATGCATGCACTGGCCAGGCCTGGCTCTGATCCCGGGCAGGGGAAAGGGTGCAGGGCAAGAAGGCAGGGAATTGTCCCAAGCTGTGCACACCAGTCGGGAAACAGGCAGGTAAATGACTGCAGAGAATTACTTGGTATGCATCTGAAGGAGGTGGGCCGATAGCCTGTGGTATGACAGGCCAGGAGGAGGGGTGGCCCAGGAACCCAAGTGGACAGAACAGGCTTTGTTCTTCTGGTGGGACCAGGGTGGGCTGGGTGTGTGTGTGTGGCACTGGCAGCAGTCTGAGGCCTCAGGTCCCAGGTCCTAGCCCATGGTCTGCCATTCCTTGCCCTCACTGCCTCTCTGTGGGCCCCAGTCACCATGTTCTCCAAGGGGCCTGCCTGCTCTGGAACCCTCCAAGTTTGGAGAAGCATGAGCAGAGGCTGAGAATGGTTCAGAGGTCATCAAGGTAAAGGCTATTTTCACTCTGACTACCAAGGAGAGTTCAAACACACATGGTGGACTGAGGGCCTCTATGCCCAGGAAAATGTCATTTCTGTAGGTATGAGCAGAACCTGAGAGGTTTTGGATGAGGGGAGTGATGTGGCCAAAGCTGTTTAGAGAAATATCTCATAGCAGGGTCTGGGGCATCATGTGGGGAGACCTGCCTGGAGCCTATTAAGACCACACCATTAGGCTCGGTGCCTGTGGCTCAAGTGGCTAAGGCGCCAGCCATGTACACCCAAGGTGGCGGGTTCAAATCCAGCCCGGGCCCGCCAAACAACAATGACGGCTGCAACCAAAAAATAGCTGGGCGTTGTGGCAGGCGCCTGTGGTCCCAGCTACTCGGGAGGCTGAGGCAGGAGACTCGCTTGAGCCCAGGAGTTGGAGGTTGCTGTGAGCTGTGAAGCCATGGCACTCTACCCAGGGGGACAGCTTGAGGCTCTGTCTCAAAAAAAAAAAAAAAAAAACCATACCATTTATTCTTTTGTCCTTACATTCCATCAGCAAACATTCCTTAGTGTCACTGTGGTCCTGGCCCTGTGGGCCTGAAGGTACATAACTCATGGCATCCCAAACTATGGGTGGATGTAGTTTCTAAGCCCTTGTCTTCCTGTCCTTGTGTTCTGTAACCTGGTTCATCAGTGGATCTCTCCTATTTGGTCATGGTTTGGAAAAAAGTGATGAATCTTGACTCAAAGATCCCTCTTCTCCCTCAGCCTTCCTTAGTGGCCATCGGTCTTTCTTTCCCTTTTTCCCAAGAGTAAAGCATAGGTCCCAGAGGCTCAAAGAATTAAAACTGCAAAGGCCACACAGACAGTGGCAGACCTGGGACTAAAGTCCCACTCTCCTGAGTGCAAAGCTGGTGTTCTCTTGGTGAGTTGGTCTTTTGTTCCCATTGCTGATCTGTAAGGCCCAGAGGACAGGGGCCCTGGTATCCATCTTCTCACCCCCAACATGCCCTCATGTGCCTTAGCCCAGTGCTTTGTATATACCTAGTAGAGGTTTAGTAAGAGCTTTTACTAAATTTTAAAATCCTGAAAATCTGGAGTTGGGTTATCTAAACTAAACCTCTTTAATTGTGAAGTTGGAGAAAGTGAGGCCCAGAGAGAGGAAGGGACTTGTCCAGAGATGGGTACAGTCCACAGTAGAGCAAGGAGAGACTATGACTGAGAGCTCCTCACTGCCCCCCCAGGACTTGTCTTGTCAATGTGCCCTGCCACCTCCCTGCCAGTGCTGCTGTGTGGAGTGTAGTAAAGGAGGTGGTGAGTGGCCCTTGCGTTCCCTATCTGGGAGAACCACCTACTGCGCTGTATGGGGCATCTCACATGCGGCCTTTAATCCTCAGAGCAACTCCTTGAGGACCGGGTTGTCTTCTCCATTTTAACTCACCCGTATCTTCCCAGAGCTACACAGTTCACCAGGTGACCCTTCTCTGATCCTCACTTCCTCTACTTTGAAGTGGGTATGAGGCTCCTGGCCTCAGGGACTGAACGAAAGAAAGTGTGTCCAGCACTAGCACAACAGCGAGGCCTGGCTCTGTCACTGCCGGTGCTTCCACCGTAAAGGCCGCACCCTACACTCAGGCCTGGCACCAAGCAGGGGCCCCAGAAGAGGCGTCCACTTGTAAAACTGAGCAGGGATTATGGTCCAGTGCCCCAGGGAAGGGCATTATGTGCAGTTATCTAGCTGGGTTCCCACCTACACTCGCCCCCTGAACACTAGTTGCTACCACCACTGCCTCTGCTCCAGATCTGGGGGTTACCTGGGAAAAGCCACCCTGCACGTGTGCACAGCTCCTCACAGTTGGCAGTGCATTTCAGTGAGGGCTAATCAATTAAGTGAGGAGGGCTGGGCAGAAATTGCCACCCTGTGGTGCAAGGGACAAGGCTGAGGCCTAGAGAGGGGCAGTGAGAGGCCCCCTCCGGCAGAACAGCATTTGGGCTGGACTTGGACTGCTGGTTACATAAGCAGAGCTTGCGAGAGGCATTGGCATTTCACAGACCCCTTGTATAATCACCTCTGGGAACCAAAGGGTAATTTCGGTGCCTTTGTGGTGTTTGTTTAAACCCCAGGAAGGGTGGGTAAAAGCAGATCAGCTTAGCAGGGGAGGTGGGGCCTTTGGTGGTAATGAACCCTGTGGTGAGGAGCTCACCCGGGGGAACAAAGGGGGCCTGAAGCAACTTAATAGTTTCCTTTTGGTTCCAGACATTGGAACACTCTGTCCTGCCTCAGCTGGGACCAAGCCCAGGATGCACCTGGGCCCGGTTTAATCCTCAAATTGGCCTCTACAAAAGAAAGGGGTGGGAGAGGAGGGGCCCACATGGGGAGAGAAAGGGAAAAGAGCCCCACTTCTCCCTGTCCCCTGGCAGAGCCAGAGTACGGATCAAGTGGCTAGTTCTTTAAAGTTTCATATGGAACTGGTAATGCTATCCTGCTGCTCCCTAACCCCCACCCCACCCCTCTCCAGAAAGTGGCAGCTCCCTAGCCCACCCCACCTACCCTGAAGGCCAGTGGGAGGGATGAACAGGAGGGCAGGGGCACAGAGCACGGCCACCAGATGGAGAGCCCTGCTGGACAGAAGCTGACTGCCCTCTCCCATCTCCCAGGCCGTGGGGCTGACATGCAGGGGAAGGGTAACCATACACTCTATTTTGTCCATTCTGAAGCCCCCACTGCTCAGCCCTTTCATCTTCGTGCTGGTGCCACTGAGCATCACTGTCCCAGGAAGTACTGTATACAGCAGATGTGGACTCAGGTTTTGAGTCCAACAGAGTTGTGGTTGGCTATAACCTTTAGATGTGACAACATAGACATGGTACCTGGCATCTCTGGCAGCTACCATTGTAATTGTACAGAGATGGAAACTGAGATTCAAGAAGAGGGAAGTGGCTTGTGTCACTGCATGTGACAGTGAGAAAAGCCCCTTTTGCAACCTGCCGCTCCACAGCCACCCTACCAGGTCTGTTGGAGGGAGCAGATGTGAACAGAGCAATTGGAATTGAGTGGACCTGGGTTCTAATCCTGGCCTGCTTTTTACTAGTTTGGGATAAGGCCCTTTTCCACTCTGAGCCTCTGTTTCTTCGTCTGTATAATGGGGCACCAACCCAGCTGGCTGCTCAAGGTTAAAGGACAAGCCAAAGAGGTATAATAAGCTGTATCAGTTAGGGGTAGGGGGCAGGGCAAGGGGGAAAGGGACTTAGGAAAAGTGTCCCCAGAGCTCATCTGAGCATCTAGACAAGGTCTGCATTTGAAAGGGCAGATCCCTCTGGAGGACAGAGCCTGGGAGAGGGTGGTGGGGAGAAGGTGGGATAGTCCCTGCAGGTCCCATTGCCAGGAGAGAGCCCTGGACTGGAAGGCTGGAGTGTGGGGCTCAGGCCTGGCTCAGCCACTGCCAGAATGCAGCAGTGGGCTGCACTACCTGTCTGTTCCCCACCCAGGGCCACTCCACTTAGCCATGTCACTGTGAAAAATTTCTTAACCTAAGGCTCAGTTCCCTTAGGGCAATGGAGAAAAAAATTTCTGCTTTACAGGACAGTTGTAAGGGTTAAATAAGATCATGCCATGAGGCAGCTAGCATAGTGCCCGCCCCATAGGACATGCTCAGCAGAGGAGAATGGGGCACCCTAACCCCAACCCCTACAACACAAGCCCCTCCCTTCTGGTGCCTGGAGCTGGGCCAGCTCCAGAAACCATCCAGTCCAGTGGGTTTCGAACTGGGTTCTTTAATACCCTACAGCAGGATGGTGAGCAGATATGGAGGCTCCTCACTCCCAGAGAGCAGGCCTGCCTTCATCTACAGCAGCTGGTTCTGCCGCATCCAATGTAAACTCTACCCATCTAACCCTTTCTACCATACAGATGAGGAAACTGAGGCCTGAGAGCCCCAGAGACTAGGAATTGTAAGGAACAGTATTCCAGGAAACACTACAGGAGGACAAGGACTGGCAACTTCCCCAGCTGCGTGTAGTCAGACACACTGGTGCCTGTCTTGAGGGGTGGGGTTAGAACCGTCCGGTACATTCACACCTCACCTGTGGCCCTCTTTCTAGCCCTCACCATGCCGTGGTCCCTGCTCCTGCTATTGCTGTTCGTGAGTGGAGCGCAGACAACCCGACCATGCTTCCCCGGGTGCCAGTGTGAGGTGGAGACCTTCGGCCTCTTCGACAGCTTCAGCCTGACTCGGGTGGACTGCAGCGGCCTGGGCCCCCACATCGTGCCGGTGCCTATCCCTCTGGACACAGCCCACCTGGACCTGTCCTCCAACCGGCTGGAGACAGTGAATGAGTCAGTGTTGGCAGGGCCTGGCTACACCACCCTGGCCGGCCTGGATCTCAGCCACAACCTGCTCACCAGCATCTCACCCACCACCTTCTCCCGCCTGCGCTACCTGGAGTCGCTCGACCTCAGCCACAATGGCCTTGCGGCCCTGCCAGCCAACAGCTTCACCAGTTCACCCCTGAGTGACGTGAACCTTAGCCACAACCGGCTCCGGGAGGTCTCAATGTCTGCCTTCACTACCCATAACCAGGGCCGGACACTGCATGTGGACCTCTCCCACAACCTTATTCACCACCTCGTGCCCCACTTGGATCGGGCCGCCCTGCCCACGCCCTCCATTCAGAGCCTGAACCTGGCCTGGAACCGGCTCCACACCGTGCCCGACCTCCGAGACTTGCCCCTGCGCTACCTGAGCCTAGATGGGAATCCCCTGGCTGCCATCGGCCCAGGTGCCTTCACGGGGCTGGCAGGCCTTACTCACCTGTCGCTGGCCAGCCTGCAAAGGCTCCCCCAGCTGGCGCCCTATAGCTTTCGTGAGCTACCGGGCCTGCAGGTCCTGGACCTGTCCGGCAACCCCAAGCTCAAGTGGGCTGGAACTGAGGTGTTCTCAGGCCTGGGCTCCCTGCAGGAGCTGGACCTTTCTGGCACTGGCCTGGTACCCCTGCCTGAGATGCTGCTCCTCCAACTCCCAGCATTGCAGAGCGTCAGTGTGGGCCAGGATGTGCGGTGCCGGCGTCTGGTACGGGAGGGCACCTACCCCCGGCAGCCTGGCTCGAGCCCTAAGGTGGCCCTGCACTGTATAGATACCCGGGAATCTGCTGCCAGGAGCCCCGACATCTTGTGACGAATGGTGTGGCCCAGGGCCACATGACAGACTGCTGCCCTGGGCTTGCTCAGGTCCCGAATAACTTATATTTTAATGTGCCAGTGCCAGTGAGGAATCTTCAGGTCTGTGTGGTGGTGTCACTGCAGGCAGGAGCTGTGGACCTAGGAGAGACTTTGGACCTGGGACCAACCCCCAGGAGCAAAGTCTTCCCCCTTTGTCTTTGTAGGCCCCCCAACCATGAGCAAAGGAACTCTGATGCCAAACCAGACTCCGGTCCCTCCCTGCTGCCCTTCCCCACTTTTCCCTCAAGTGCCTTCCCTCATGCCTGGCCCAACCTGACCCACAGCAGGAAGAAGGTGGGTTTGGAGCCACTGTGGGGCAGAATTCAGGCCCACTGAGTGTCCCCTTTGGGCCCATAGTCCAGTCACTCAGAGGCATGGGTTTCTCTTACGATATAGACCTTTGTCCTTTGCCATGAGGCCCACTTCATCCTTTTCTCTTCCCCTGGGACCCAGGGTAGAACCTTTAATATAGAAGGAACTGGAAAGAAAATCAAATCTACCCTCCTCATGTGACAGGTGGGGAAATTGAGGCCTAGAGACGGAGAAATGCTACCCTGAGTTCCTCCAGGGGCAGAGGGAGGATATAGTCTTTGCCTCCTAGCCCAGGCCCTTTGCACTTTCCTGTCTTCTCTAATAAGTGTCCCCGCTTTGTAGGCTCCCCCTTGCTGTCATTGGTACCCTTTTGTAGTCATCCCCAGGAGCAGCAGCAGGACAGGCAAGGGCCTCGGAAAAGGGACGCTGGGCCCAGTGACCAGCCGTGTTGCATGATGGTCAGTTCACCTCTGACAGCCTCTGGAGGCTTAGGGTATGTCAGCCTCAGCCCTAACCCTGCCGGTTTCTCACTCTGGGGTAAAGTCTCCCTACATCAAGACTGGAAATGTGCCTGTTTTCCCTGGCAGAGTTGATGCAGTCCTGGAGCCTGTGAGGGCCTCCTGGATTCAGTCCCCACTGAGCCAGCAGTGCCTGGCAGAATAGAGTCTTCCCTACCCATGTGTATGCACCACCCCAGGGTGGCATCTCAGCTTCCCAGCCCTGGGCTCTTTCCTTAGCCTTCCTTTTATAAAAGTTGTTGCCTTTTTAATGGACTGTCACTTTCAACCCCCGCCCCCAACCCTGCTGGCAGGGGATGGAAACAATGTCATTTGTAAAAGAAAAAGTTTGCATTTGTTCACTTTTGTAATGTTGTGTCCTGGGCATGTGTTGGGAGGTGTTAAGCAGAAGTCAGCCCGTGGCTGGTCCCATAGAGATGCCCACCGGGCAATGAGAGCTCTGTCTTGCCCTACCAACCCAGCCCAGCAGCTGACTGGTGCTTGGTTTAATAAACATTGTATAAAGAATTGTTCTTTCGGCTCGACGCCTATAGCTCAACCGGCTAAGGCGCCAGCCATGTACACCTAAGGTGGCGGGTTCGAATCCCCAGCCCGGACCCGCCAAACAACAATGACGGCTGCAACCAAAAAATAGCCGGGCGTTGTGGCGGGCGCCTGTGGTCCCAGCTACTTGGGAGGCGGAGGCAGGAGACTCGCTTGAGCCCAGGAGCTGGAGTTTGCTGTGAGCTGTAATGCCACGGCACTCTGCCCAGGGGGACAGCTTGAGGCTCTGTCTCAAAAAAAAAAAAAAAAAAGAATTGTTCTTTCCATCATTCAACCAGTGAGCATCATCAATCCTGAGCCACAGGACAAATTAGGTTAGGCTCTGCCCTGAGCAGTTTGTTCTATTTGAAAAGCTCAATAATCTCTCAGGATTTGGGGAGTAAGGTGACAGGAGGAAGGGAGTTACTCAGAGGTAGACCCTAGCTCCATCCTCATCTACCCTCCAAACCTCAACTCTATCCACCAGTGATCAGTCCATAGCCATGAACTTCCCAGTAAACCTAGTTCCTCCTTAGATGCTTCCCTGAGGTCCACTCTGCACCTTCACCCCTGAGCTCCAACAGTACTTTGTTCATCCTTGGCATTTCAGCTGCCATGGTACCCTAACTCCTATTTGCATGCTTCCAGTGACAGGGAGCTCACTTTTGGCTCAGGTGGGTGGTGGTTCTGTAACCAAGTTTTTCCCTCTAACTGGTCAAAGTCTACAGGTATATTCACCATCTTCACCAACAAGGACAAGCTATTTCTGATATCTACTCCAGGCCAGGTCTTGCACAAGGCAGGAAGATGAGTCCATCCCAGTCTCTGCCCTAGGGAGACTCATTTTTCCTGGGAAGGGAGAAGAAGGAAGACACCTAAGAGCAGTACAGGGGCCCAGAGCCCTGTGGAGAAGTTAGGAAGGTGTCCTGGACAAGGCTCATCCACCCAGTGGACAAAGACAAAGGGGGCTGGCACTCAGGGGAGGTCGTAGGTGAAGTGTCAATGGCACAGAGCCCAGAACATTCAGGCCAGGTGCATCAGTGGGGAGCTTGCCTGTCTTGTACAATCAGGCCTTCCCAGGGAGAAGTACCAACCAGAGGTTCTGAACCCAAGGCTGTCACCCACCAGTCAGTGTAGGAAAGAGCTGAGGCATGTGGCCTAGGGTGGGGGGCAGGGAGCCTGGCTGATTTAGGACAGAGAGGCTTCAAATGCAGGGGTAGGGGAGGCAGCACAATGCTTTTCACCCAGTGTGTCTGGATCTTCTCAAAGCACTGCCTGTGGAAGGAGTCCTTGGGGGGCAGGCCATGAAACACAAGGGTCTTAAACACAGAGACAAAGGATGCAGAAGACTGAGAAAGGAAGGCAGAAGGTCTGCAGGAGTGAGCTCTGGGGCAGGTCACCTCTGCCCTGAGTGTAGCTTTCTTATCTGCAAAACAGGGCAACCGAGAAACTTGGAAAGAGGATGGGTGCAAAGCCGTCACACTGTGCGGGCTCATACTTCCTGGTGGGGGGACAGTACCCGCAACCCCCCATTCCTGGCCTCCTGCTGCCTTATGGAGATCCAAAGTCCCGCGGAGCAGGAGCCCTTGCCCACTGGAGCGTTCACACGTCCTCTCTGGCGGGGACGGAGGTTTCCGGCCCGCAGCGCCACCTCGTGGTCACTCGTGGCCACTCGTGGCTTGCGCCTGGAGCAAGGCCCAGCGCCCTTCTCTACCCACCAGATCACCCTCACCCTGCCAGACTCTGCCCTCCAGGAATCCTGGCACCTAGAATAAGGGAGTTAGAATCTCACAAAACCACAGATTCGTGCAAAGATTCCATTATGGAATTCACAGAAAAGAGTTGAAGTCTTGGGTCCATCACAAACCAATTGTGTGACTTCAGCCAAGTCGCTTTGCCTCTCTAGCCTGGAAAATAGGGATGAAAATATCTCCCCCCAACAGGATAGTATAAAAAAGAAGTGAAATAACATTATAGAGAACCAAGTACAGTGCCTGGCACAAAATAAACACCCCACAAGTGCCCTTTCTCTCCATTTAATCACAGAATTATGCAGTTGATTATAGAACCCTATAGTCATGAAGCCATATTTGGTAATTCATCAGAACTGAAGAATTTCCTAAATGTTTGGGCTTGTAGACTCATAGAACAATAGTCTTCAATATTAGGCTTCAGTAGAGCTTGTTCAATGGCAAGCTCTTGTGTGCCTAATGTGGAACAGGCATTCAGCCACGCCAGTTGACTTATAGAGAGGAGAAAACAAGTGAGGCCTGGTTTGCCATCATGGTCAGGCAGGGTCACAAACATGTCCTTGCATTTCATTGAGATGCACTGTCATTTACTGAGCATGTGCTGTTACTCATGCTTTGTGCACGTGCCATCCTTTCCTCCTCACAGCTGCACCAGGTGTTTTTGTCACTATACAGACGAGAAAATCTTCCTATGCCTGGCTTCATCTGCCAGATGGCAGTTCCCTTACCCTTGCCTGTCCTACCTCAGGGGCCAGGCCAGCTGCGTAGATCCCACGAATCAGAGAGGGTAGAGGCATTCCGAGAAACCACAGAACACTGGGATTCCATTTATTTTTCTGCTTTAAATAAATTGGGGAAGTTTTACAGCTCTAAATACTCAGTATCTCCAATCAGGCCATTCATTCTAAATCCTAGAATATAAAAAGCCACAGGCCAAAGTCAAAGTCCTTTCTCTCTTGGCCCCTTTTCCCAGATACTGAGATAAAGACCCAGTGAGGAGCAGCCCAACTTTCCAGGGCAAGTGGTCAGGACTGTGCTTTGGAATTGGCTGCATAATTTACAGGGCCTAGTGCAAAGTGAAAATGTGGGGCCCTCTTTTCAAAAAGTATTAAGAATTTAAAAGTGGTAAGAACAGAGCACTAAACCAAGCACAGTGTCATTCACTGCCCATGAAGCCAGCCCTGCTGTGATTTGGTCATCCCATCTATAGAGAAAGAAGATGTGAACACCCAGGCAGGGTTGGTCAAATGCAGGAATTTCCTTCTATGGTTATCACATGACCCCTGGTTTACCCAAATTGCCACATGGCCAAAGGGCTTTCAGAGGGAAAGAGACATGAGAGGCAGATACAGCTCATAGGACATTTCTCTAGACAAGGACTGCCAGGAATATGGGGCAGAGGCCTACCCTCTTTATGTGTTTGTAGAATTAAGAGTCCACAGTACTAAAGTCCACTCATACCTAATGTCCACCAAGGGCAATGTCTATAACAACAGAGGTCACCATAGGCTAATATGGCCTTGCCCATCAATATTCAGTGTCCCTTGTTAGCTAATGCAAATGTTCGTTTACAGCTGATGTTTCTCGTAGGAATGATAGCCTCCATTAATGGCCAATATTCACAAATGAAAAATGGCCAGTGATGGGGATGTCCACTGTATATCAATGCCTGGTGTTCACTGAGAGCTAATTGGAATTGTAAGTGCTCTGCGCATCAATACTCAATACCCAATGTTAGTCCACAGCTCAACTTCCATCAGCAGCAAATTTCCATCCAGTTAAGTGACATGCCTTGTGTTTATTCTTCTCTTTTATTTACTTATCACCTTTTATATGTTTAAGTACTAGTGGTGTGTCTACAGGGATTATCATGTTTATTGGAGCTTTGAGGGAAATTCCTTCTGTGTTTCAATTCCCAAAGCCATTTGTCCTTTTATTTTGCATACTCATTATATAGTTGAATTGTTCTCAATTGAGAGTACAAACATACGTTTAAGTTTCTTAATAAACACACACACATATATAACATGTATCATATAAGTATGATATACATAATACAAGAAGCCATAGGAAAAGAGAAACTAGTTGATAATATGAATATCAACAACCTAGGAACAATTTTTTAATTAGTTGACTTTTAGAAGCAACAACTTTTCCAAAAGTAAGTAATGAATTGAGACATCAACTCTCTGGCTCAGGCAAAGAAGGTCAAAGAGCCTATGTTTTACTGGGAGAAAAGGCATCATCTTTTCTAATCAGCTTACGGCTCCCGTGCAGGGGCTTCTTTAGACAGCAAAACTGGTCTTCAGGGCACAACCTCAAGTGGAGGCTGCCTGGGCTCCAAACCAGGCTCTGCCCTAGGCAGCTAAATGTTCTGGAGTAAACACGTGGCCTCTCTTTCAGCCCCAACCCACCTCTGTAAAGTGGAGACACAGTAGGTACTTTACAAGGCTACTGTGGGGAATGAATCAACGGACATAAAACCCTTAGAACAGTATCTGGCATATAATAAATGTTATGTATGTGAAACATTATTTACCTTTATTTTGAAAATTATTTTTTTTATGTCAAACTTACAAGCCTGTGATGGCTCAAAATATTCTCGGGCAGGGTTTCTTCAGTGACCATCAGCTCCCAGAGGGTTATATCCAGGAAGTCAGTTGTGCTTAGGAACTGGAAAAGAAGTTCTGCCCTCTGCCTCAGTACATTTTGAAACCACCCAGCCACATAGCTTCCTTCTGGCCCAATGCTCTTAAAGACACAGTGCTTAAGAAATATTCTCATACCCCCCATGTTTGCCACCATCTCTCCAGGCCTGGCAGTCACAAATGGAGTGGCTGACCTGCTGTGATTTGAGACAGTAAGGTAAAACCTTCAATTCTTCTTGCTCTTCCTAACAGCCTCACCCTCTGCCTGAAATTCCACATTGCTCATTGGTTTAGGCTATGATGGGGGTCCAGCATCTTTCCTAGATGGGTAAGGACTCAGGATACCAAGAGTATGATTGGGGAATGGAGATGAGATGTCTGGATTAGTGAGGTATTAACTAGCTAATGGGATGCAAACGGTACCTCAACATGTTCTTAAAATGTGTTTCCCCCCCCCAAATATTTTTAAGGTAATAAATATGTCAATATAGCAATTGTTAAGATTGTGCTAGAGGCAAGACTGTGAGGCCCATAAAGAAGAATCAGGCCTTTTGTGTATGCCACTTTCTCTACCGACTGATGTGAG